TGTTGGGATTTTGGCTATTGGCTACTTTGAAGCGTGGTAAGACATGCCTTATAATATGAAGAAAAACTTCCAAACAATTAAGGAACAGGAACAATATAGCGATGCTAATCCTAACCGTCTTCTGGTAGATGGAAATGCTTTCCCAATAACCTTCTCAATTAAATGTTAGCTAGCTAAAAGTAGCCTATGCCTACCTGGCAGAATTATATCATGATTATTTGCATCAATCCAGTGGCCATTTGTTTTGCTAACTCCATCTCATGTGCTACAGAAACACCACTAACCAAACCAACAGTGCTAGGTGCGCTTGAATTAAAGTAACTAAACTAAAAAAATCTAAATTTCTTAGATTTTCCCCAGACCTCACAAACAGTCTGCTGATGTGATTTAAGCATTGTTATGAAAACCTGAAAACATTTAGAAAAATCTAAATATGCCTACTTCCACATTATAGTTTTGGGTTGGAATTTAATATATGGGATTCATCATTTTAGGTCATTCAGAGTGTATGTCACTGTTTGTCATAGAATATTTCACACAGGGCGGCGTCCCTTCGCGGGGCAGGCCGGTCTGGAAATGTTGGGCAAAATTAGAGTATACCCACTTCTCCAGGCACATCTACATAGCTGTTCTTCACGCTGAGTCAATACATGTTAGAATAATCTTTGGCAGCAATTACAGCTGTGAGTCTTTCTGCGTAAGTCTCTAAGAGCTTTCCACACCTGGATTGTACAACATTTGTCCATCATTATTTTCGAAATTCTTCAAGCTGTCAAATCGGTTGTTGATCATTGTTAGACAACCATTTTCAGGTCTTGCCAAATATTTTCAAGCAGATTTAAGTCAAAATTGTAACTCGTCCACTCAGGAACATTCACTGTCTTCTTGGTAAACAACTCCAGTGTAGCTTTGGCCTGGTGTTTTAGGTTATTGTCCTGCTGAAAGGTGAATTCATCTCCCAGTGTCTGGTGGAAAGCAGACTGAACCAGGTTTTCCTCTAGGATTTTGCCTGTGCTTAGCTCCATTCAGTAAAAAAAAAATATCCTGAAAAGCTCTCCGGTCCTAAACCATTACAAGCGTACCCATAACATGATGCAGCCACCACTATACTCTAAAATATGGAGAGTGGTACTCAGTAATGTGTTGTGTTGGATTTGCCCCAAACATAACACTTTGTATTCAGAACAAAAAGTGAATTGCTTTGCCACATTTTTTCCAGTATTACTTTAGTGCCTTGTCGCAAACAGGATGCATATTTTGGAATATTTGTATTCTGTACAAGCTTTCTTTCTTTTCACTCTGTCAATTAGGTTAGTATTGTGGAGTAACTACAGTGTTGTTGATCCATCCTAAGTTTTCTCCTAACACAGCCATTCAACTCTGTAACTGTTTTAAAGTCTCCATTGGCTAATGGGGAAATCCCAGAGCCGTTTCCTTCGTCTCCAGCAACTGAGTTAGGAAGGACACCTGTATATTTGTAGTGACGCTGTATTGATACACCATCCAAAGTGTAATTAATAACTTCACCATGCTCAAAGGGATATTCAATGTCTGCTTTATAATTGTTTTACCCATCTACCAATAGGTGCCTTTCTTTGCGAGGCATTGGAAAACCTCACTGGTCTTTGTGGTTGAATCTGTTTGAAATTCACTGCTCAACTGAAGAACCTTACATATAATTGTATGTGTGAGGTACAGGGATGACGTAGTCATAAAAAAAATCACGTTAAACACTATTATTGCACACTGAGTCCATACAGCTTATTTTGTGACTTGTTAAGCACATTTTACTCCTGAACTTATTTAGGCTTGCCATAACTAAGGGGCTGAATACTTATTGACTCTAGACAGTTCAGCTTTTCATTTTTAATTAATTTGAGGAGAAAAAAATGTAAAACATAATTCCACTGACATTATGGGGTATTGTGTGTAGGCCAGTGACAACAAATGTAATTCTAAAAAACATCCCATTTAAATTCAAGCTGTAACACAACAAAATTGGTCCTTCAGCTTGTCGAACATTTGAGACAAAATACCCAAAGGAAACTATTACTTAAACTACATTTTAGAGCGCTGGCACTGGAGGTGAAATTTTGATCACCTGGCACCTGGCACATGCGCAAAACCATGTAAACACCTGCAAGACTTCGGTGCATGTACTTGCGTCTTCTGCACGAGCCATAGGGCATGCGCAAACACTTATTGATTGCAACACAGAGATACCTACGTTTTGAAGTCAGTTTAATAATACTTATGTTTCAAATTTTGACCAGCTGAAGGACCAACCCCATGGAAAATTGGCAGAGTAAGTTCAAAGATAGAAAAACACTTAAGCATAGCCACGCACATTTAGATGGAAAAACACTTAAACGTCCCTTGTCTATCACAAATGTTCCCAACCTTTTTGAGTTACTGTACCACCAACTGAATTTTGCTCTGCCTGGAGTACCCCTGAAGTACCCCCTCATGTGCATTTTACCAGTAGGCTTATGGTTTCATGAGTCTTCTAAAGTACCCCCTGTGGATAGGCCAAGTACCCCTTGTTGGGAACTACTGCAGTACACAATGGAAAGCATCACCACATTTGGGACTACTTGACAGTAGACTACCTTTTCAAACAAACTTTGATTTTGGCGTGTAACATCCCTTTAAACCTCTTCCCCCGATTGCTTCCATGTGTTTTGTTTGTACTATTCTCCACAGCTGGTCCAAGGAGCAGAAAGCAGGGCGCAACCCCGGAAAAATGTGGCCTAGTTCTTATTGCCGTGACTATCTGAAACAGACATATGTAGCATAGCATATACAGTGTCTTTGGAAAGTATTCAGACCCCTTGACTTTTTCTACATTTTGTGACGTTACAGCCTTATTCTAAAATTGATTAAATCGTTTTTTCCCTTCATCAATCTATATTCAATACCCCATAATGACAAAGCAAAAACAGGTTTTAGAAATGTTTGCTAATTTATAATAATAAAATAAAATAAATGAAATATTACATTTACATAAGTATTCAGACCCTTTACTCAGTACTTTGTTGAATAACTTTTGGCAGTGATTACAGCCTCGAGACTTCTTGGGTATGACGCTACATGCTTGGCACACCTGTATTTGGGGATTTTCTCCCATTCTTCGCTGCAGATCCTCTCAAGCTCTGTCAGGTTGGATGGGGAGCGTTGCTGCACAGCTATTTTCAGGTCTCTCCAGAGATGTTCGGGCTCTGGCTGGGCCACTCAAGGACATTCAGAGACTTATCCCGAAGCCACTCCTGCCTTGTCTTGGCTATGTGCTTAGGGTCTTTGTCCTGTTGGAAAGTGAACTTTGCCCCAGTCTGAGGACCTGAGAGCTCTGGAGCAGGTTTTCATCTAGGATCTCTCTGTACTTTGCTCCATTCATCTTTGCCTCGATCCTGACTAGTCTCCCAGTCCCTGCCGCTGAAAACCATCCCCACAGCATGATTCTGCCACCACCATGCTTCACCATAGGGATGGTGCCAGGTTTCCTCCAGATGTGACGCTTGGCATTCAGGGCAAAGAGTTCAATCTTGGCTTCCGTCTAGCCACTGTGCCATAAAGGCCTGATTAGTGGAGTGCTGCAGAGATGGTTGTCCTTCTGGAAGGTTTTCCCTTCTCCACAGAGGAACTGTAAAGCTCTGTCAGAGTGACCATCGGGTTCTTAGTCACCTCCCTGACCAAGGCCCTTCTCCCCCGATTGCTCAGTTTGGCCGGGTGGCCAGCTCTAGGAAGAGTTTTGGTGGTTCCAACCTTCTTCCATTTAAGAATGATGGAGGCCACTGTGTTCTTGGGACCTTCAATGCTGCAGACATTTTTTGGTACCCTTCCCCAGATCTGTGCCTCGACACAATCCTGTCTCGGCGCTCTATTGACAATTCCTTCGACCTCATGGCTTGGTTTTTGCTCTGACATGCACTGTCAACTCTGGGACCTTATATAGACAGTTGTGTGCCTTTCCAAATCATGTCCAACCAAATTAAATTTCCCACAGGTGGACTCCAATCACGTTGTAGAAACATCTCAAGGATGATCAATGTAAACAGGATGCACCTGAGCTCAATTTCGAGTCTCATAGCAAAGGATCTGAATACTTATGTAAATAAGGTATTTCTGTTTTGTTATTTTATAAATGTGCAAATTCTAAAAACCTGTTTTCGCTTTGTTATTATGGGGTAGTTTGAGTAGATTGCTGAGGATATATAAATAAAAAAAATCCATTTTAGAATAAGGTTGTAGGCTGGCTTGAGCAAAGTCAAGGGGTCTGAATACTTTCCGAAGGCACTGTATGTAGTAAACACTACCATCATGCATGACTTTAGTGCACAACAGTGTCATTTTACACAGCTTCTTCTCTATTAGGACCTGTGATGTGATGGAGACCATACATTTCTTTGTTCTCTCACTCATAGTCTGATCAGACGCTGACCCTTCCCCTGCTTGAAGAGTACCAACTTAAATTAGGTGCATTTTGGAAGGACATGAAACACTCACAGAGGACAGAGCTAAGTATATCCAGAGAGGCTTTCTGATTAGTTAAATTCCACACTCAAACAAAAACCTTAATCTTCCAAACCATCCGTTTTTAATTTCCCTCGAACTAAAAATGAAGTCAGAGAGTGAAATGATTACATTTTATAGGAATGTTTTGGTTTTGGGGCATTGTTCCTTCTTTGCAGCGTTCCAATCATGTTTTGATGATGTTGATGATTATGCTGAATATGAAGACACAACTAGAGGCTACATTGCCCCTAAAATTATATCCATACAGTTAACTCTACAGTACTTCAAAGTTCAACATTTTTTGGGGGGATTTGGGATTTGCACTCTGGCAAACATACCTGCAATGCATTTCAATTGCTGCAATGAATTACAATTACATTATCATTCACTCTTTGGTCATGCACTCCTATCTTGTATAAAAGTGAAATTAAACTAAAATATTCCTCTTTCGCTCTCGCTCGCTCCCTCTCTCTTTCTCTCCTCACTAGAATCCAGAATCCCTGGACTCGTCCATTCAGAGTGCCCTGTCTGCCCTGTTCCCGCCCTTCGAGGCCACAGCGCCCACCGTCCTTAGTCAGCTGTTCAGGACCATCGAGGAGCGCTACCACGGTGATGCACTGCACTGCCTGCTGGACTTCCTCATCCCGTCCAAACGCCTCCTGGAGATCGTGCAGCAGGCGGCGTGTGTGAGTACACCCACACACACACACGTACATAGATGCCCATACAAACAAATGCATATATACACACTCACTCACTTTCACTCACTCACTAACTCACTCACACACTCACACACACACACGTACACACACACACATACGTGCATAGATGCCCATACAAAACAAATGCATATATACACACTCACTCACTCACTCACTCACTCACTCACTCACTCACTCACTCACTCACTCACTCACTCACTCACTCACTCACTCTCTCACACACACACACACACACCACACACACACCACACCCCACACCCCATACACACACCTCTCTATCTCTCTCAGACAGATAGACACTCACACACACACACACACACAGAGAGAGAGAATAGATGAGGCAACTTGACATCAGTAACAGTAAAACCGCAGAGGTTCACAGCTGAGGTTCTAACTGCATTACAAAAAAAGAGATCAACAAAAGGTTTACTTGTCCATCAGGGGATAAATCCAAGCTGTTGTTTATGCTTCATTAATTCTGAAATCTATTATTTTCTGTGGATGCTAGCCAGACACGCAACTGAGTTGACATCGCTCAGCAAAGGATCATATTTTATTGTTTCTCCTCAAAGAGTGTACAAAAGAAAACAGTGTAGAATCCCAGGCATTTGTCTTTATTGGAAGCTCAAGAACAGTCGGGTTTAGGCCAGAATCAGTTTTCCATAACCACAGCTCAGTAGTATACACACATAAAGCTGAATTTGAGGTGAAATGAATGGTGAATCTATCCTTCCCTCATTGCATTCCAGTCTGTCAAATGCAATTTAAAGTAGACATAACCCTGATTTGTTTGGGATTCTAGTCTACTCACATGGCACATGTTACATAGCTTAAGTGCACCCCTAGTGGGCACCCAAGATTTTAAATGGTGGATCATTTAGTATTTTTTCTTCTAGTCCAGCATTAACACACCTGATTAAACTAATCAAGGGTGTTGATAATTGGTTGAGATCAGTTGCGCTGGTGCTGGGCTTGAACAAAAAAGTGCAGTCCTACCGCAGGACTGATGATGAAAAAACACTGACCTAAGAGATCGTAAATCCATGCAACTTACCCCCCTCTCCAACCTCTCCCTCCCTCTCCCCAGGCTGCGTACTCGGATGTGCTTTTCCGTTGTGAGGGCTGGCCCCTGTGCCTCCGCAACAGAACCGTGATCCAGCTGGCCCCGCTCAACCCTCTTCTGCTCCGCCCCGGAGACTTTTACCTGCAGGTGGAGCCCTTTGGAGAACAGGCAGCCCGCATCGTCCTCAAAAGTCTCCTGGAGGAGGGCTGCCGTGAGGTGGAGGAGACCCCCATCCCCGAGACCTCTTACCCCTGCATCTTCACCCTTGACTGGCTGAGGGAGGTGAACGATGGCCGCCATGGCACCCCACTGTCCCGCTGCATGCTTTCCACCGACCAGGGAGTGATGAAGGTGCCCTGGGTACAAGTGGCTATTCCAGAGTTTCTGGACAAGCCCAAGACCATGACTACACCTAGTGTTATCCGTGACGTTCCGTTTGAGCCGACACCGTTGCAGATTCCCTCCTCTTCCGACTCTACCTCTTCCGCCCTTTCCCTGGAGACCATGATCCTTCCTGCCAGGGACGGGATCTCTGTGTCCTTGCGACTCATGGATGGTACCTCGAAACTAATCAAGGGGGACCACGAAAAACCCATTCCCAAAACGCGTGCCAAACCACTAGTCAAGCCTGTGGGCTGGGTGTCGCCCAACACCTGGGACACCAGCCGGAACTACCGCGAGATCGAAGGTGACTACGTGGATTTAGTGGAGTTCGCCAAGGAGAAAGAGTCCATTGCGGGACGCAGTAAGACTCCCAACTCTTCTAATCCCCCTTTGTTCAAACCAGTCAGGCCCCCTCCACCTGTACCGCTCGGGAACAGCACCCCCTGTGGGCGCACCCTCAGGTTTTCAGAGGAGCCTTGCAAGCCGTGCAGCCAGAGGAGGCTAGGGCAGGAGCCTAGTGGGCAGGAACTAAAATGCAGGTACAGAGACTCATACCTAGCAGCACTGCGCAACCCAGTTCCCTTTGAAAGGGGGAGCGTAGGCCTGCTAGCTGCTCTGGATGAGTCCGGCCCCTGTGAAGTGGAGGAGATGGGCTTCAGGCGTCACGCCAGAGGTCCAGGTCAGGACACTGGGGAGTGCTGTAACCACTATAAGGAGCCTATTGTAGGTCACGAGCCACACCAACATGGACACTTCGGTAAGGAACCCCCATTGGTCCTAAATCACATACCACACACATCCATCGAACCTGCTATAACTCACAAACCAGGAAAACATACTAAAGAACCTCAAATCATTCATAAACTGTGCCAAGTGGCACCCCATCTTCAGACAAACCACATAGCCCATCAAACGGGACCTGACTCAAAGGTAGCGTTACCTCCGGCAATCTCTCACCCGGTCGTGGTTGATGCCTGCGAGTGTGACTACACCTCCAAGCCAATTTGGAACCCGGAGGCGGTGAAAACCATTGGTAAACACAAAGCCAAACCCAGGTCACTCTCCACTGTGTCTGAGAAGGCCAGAGGAAGTCCTCTGGTCCATAAACTGAACAACAGGAGCCACAGTGACATCTGCCCAGAGATGATTCCCCCCAGTGCCCAGGTGGTGCAGTGTGAGAAAGGCACGGCCTTCGGCCCGATGTCCCCCAAGCTGGACAGACGGCAGTCTGCCAAGAAAGGTAATAGTGACTATCTACATACCATATTAGAACGTCTCTCATTTGTCAGACGACATTTCTTCAGTTATCCGTTTTCAGACGAAACAACTGGCAGTTTCGTCTGACAGATGAGTGACTTCCTTATGTGAATGCCGTATCTGTGACCACTGTGATTCCTCTTCCTCCTCCCCTGCTCTCTGGTCTGTTCTCCCAGGCAGAATGGCTGCAATCACGTCATTCCAAATACCAAGTGAGAAGGACAGAAATAGCTCTTATAAGGCTGTACTCTGAGAAGGGGCCATTAGGCCAGTGTCCATTGGCTATGGTAGTAAACATGACATTCCTTTAATGGAGAGAAACAGTTCCTGTTCCCTAAGCCTTCACAAGGGCCCTAACAAGCGCACTCTTTTGGACTGCCAGGAGCTAGGGAGGAAGTAGAGTGCACTGTCCCCATTTCCTATTACTCCCTCCCTACACCCTCACAAGGGCACTCAGAGGTCTGGAGACATGCTTGTCAGAGACTATTGGACTGGTGAGGGAGAGGGAGCACAGACAAGCCTTTATTGGCTCTGGAAGAAGTTAGGGTGCTAGAAATCAAAGCCAGGCTTAACAGCCTCAAAGTGTTTGGCTACAGGGAGAGAGCATGTCCAATGCAAGGCTGTGCATTGCGTAGCTGTGGCGCGTAAGGATAAGATTTGCATGAAAGACAGCCATTGAGATTTATATCCGAAAAAATAAATGCTCCCAGTGCTAAAAGGCCAAAGGTCACTGAACAGGATATACAGTGACTACAATAAAGAATAGTGTCAGAATTGCTTTGAAAATGCCGATCTATTGCATGTCTGATCTTTTTTGATTTTGAAACAATTGGACCAGAAATACTTTTTAGTAGAGCATTGTTCTTCAATCCTGGACATTGAGAAATCTGTGTGTGCAGGCTTTTGTTTTAGCCCAGCACTCACATACAGTATGTGATGATTAGTTTTAGTTGGATGAGATGTGTTGGTTCTAGACGAAAACAGAGGTCTGCACAAAGTCTTGAACCACACTGATTTAGTTGATTAAAATGATGAAGACATAAATCAGAGACGCATAATAGAGAAGATGCAATGCATGAACGCAAACATTGTCTGTCTTCCTGGTTAAATTGACATTCATTTGATCTGTCATTTATTTTCATCACAAGATCCCCAGCCTGGCAAAGTTGAAATGCGGACTATTGCACCCCTCAACGGACCTGACACCAAACCCCAGATCCCAATGTCGAAGCCCTCAGCGCCCCCCATCCAACCCCCCTCCCCCGTATCCAGATCTCCTCCATCTCCCCCCACCCAAGACTCCATCTTCAGAAGGATCAGCTGCCTGCTTCAGCTGGACATCGTTAGCCTACCAGGTACAGTGTTTGTTCTGCATTGCGTCCAGTGTTACCCAGTGTTGTCCAATAACACTCGTTTTCAGTTGCAAAGCATGTTGCTACGGTCTGCCCTTAAGAATACTACCCTGGTCCACACTTTTCTTCATCTAACCTCTCCATGACACCCGCTCTTGTCTCCTCCACCCCCAGGGAGCAGAGACAGAGTTGGCAGGGCCGTGCTGGAGGTCCATGGGGACAGGCAGGGCTGGACGTCTCCTCTGCTGTCCGCCCATGAGGTGTGCAAAGTGCTGCTCTACCTCCACTCCATCCCCAGGTAATACCAATCAATCCCTAATCATCTTCGGTGATAGTTCAATGGAGTTTACTGTATTTGATTTTGTATAGGGTGTAGGTGATCAACTAGTCTGGTCTGCCCACCCTTACCTTACTATAATATCCAGTCATGCATGTTTTGTGTCCATTTACTACACATTGAAAACACATTGTGTGAGATGACCTACAAAATTAATGACATGGCAGTGAGTATTTTACATTGTTTGGAAATCATTTAAGTTACCCTTTCAGCATTTTCTAATGCAAGTTGTCAAACATTCCAGCCATGGATTTTTGTTTATATTTTTTCACCACAGGGGGGCAGTAGAACATTACTGTACATGTCTCATACACGCATTATTGAATATTCTAATAATGCATCCTATTTATATAATGAAGATGAATTCGGAGGACAGAAATTATTAAATATTAAAGCATTAGACCTATCACTAAAAGCTTCAGTCATACAAAAGGTATACTTAAATCCGAACTGGTTCTCTAGCAAATTAGTAAGATTGTCTCATCCAATGTTCAAGAATGGCCTTTTTCCCTTTATTCAGATTATAACCTCTCATTTTCAGTTTTTTAGAAAAGGAAATAATCTCCCAAATCTAACTATTTCTAAAACAAGCCATAGAAAGTTGGTTGCAATTTCATTTGAATCCTCCTTTTGTAAAACATCACAGTACAGTTGAAAAATATATGGCAAATAGAAATCCTATATGGATGGTGTTAACAGATAGATGGGTGGTGTTGAATGGAGTTGAAGGATGGGACTAATAACAACTAACAACAACTAATAACAAGTTAACTAATAATATAAGCATACTGTGTCCATAATAAGTATATAGGTTGTAGGTTGGGAGCTTTTGTGAAAGAACACGGTTAGAAAGATATGGCATATACAGTGGGGAGAACAAGTATTTGATACACTGCCGATTTTGCAGGTTTCCCTACTTACAAAGCATGTAGAGGTCTGTAATTTTTATCATAGGTACACTTCAACTGTGAGAGACGGAATCTAAAACAAAAATCTAGAAAATCACATTGTATGATTTTTAAGTAATTAATTTGCATTTTATTGCATGACATAAGTATTTGATACATCAGAAAAGCAGAACTTAATATTTGGTACAGAAACCTTTGTTTGCAATTACAGAGATCATGTTTCCTGTAGGTCTTGACCAGGTTTGCACACACTGCAGCAGGGATTTTGGACCACTCCTCCATACAGACCTTCTCCAGATCCTTCAGGTTTCAGGGCTGTCGCTGGGCAATACAGACTTTCAGCTCCCTCCAAATATTTTCTATTGGGTTCAGGTCTGGAGACTGGCTAGGCCACTCCAGGACCTTGAGATGCTTCTTACGGAGCCACTCCTTAGTTGGCCTGGCTGTGTGTTTCGGGTCGTTGTCATGCTGGAAGACCCAGCCACGACTCATCTTCAATGCTCTTACTGAGGGAAGGAGATTGTTGGCCAAGATCTCGCGATACATGGCCCCATCCATCCTCCCCTCAATACGGTGCAGTCGTCCTGTCCCTTTGCAGAAAAGCATCCCCAAAGAATGATGTTTCCACCTCCATGCTTCATGGTTGGGATGGTGTTCTTGGGGTTGTACTCATCCTTCTTCTTCCTCCAAACACGGCGAGTGGAGTTTAGACCAAAAAGCTCTATTTATGTCTCATCAGACCACAAGACCTTCTCCCATTCCTCCTCTGGATCATCCAGATGGTCATTGGCAAACTTCAGACGGGCCTGGACATGCGCTGGCTTGAGCAGGGGGACCTTGCGTGCGCTGCAGGATTTTAATCCATGACGGCATAGTGTGTTACTAATGGTTTTCTTTGAGACTGTGGTCCCAGCTCTCTTCAGGTCATTGACCAGGTCCTGCCGTGTAGTTCTGGGCTGATCCCTCACCTTCCTCATGCTCATTGATGCCCCACAAGGTGAGATCTTGCATGGAGCCCCAGACCGAGGGTGATTGACCGTCATCTTGAACTTCTTCCATTTTCTAATAATTGCGCCGTTGTTGCCTTCTCACCAAGCTACTTGCCTATTGTCCTGTAGCGCATTCCAGCCTTGTGCAGGTCTACAATTTTATCCCTGATGTCCTTACACAGCTCTCTGGTCTTGGCCATTGTGGAGAGGTTGGAGTCTGTTTGATTGAGTGTGTGGACATGTGTCTTTTATACAGGTAATGAGTTCAAACAGGTGCAGTTAATACAGGTAATGAGTGGAGAACAGGAGGGCTTCTTAAAGAAAAACTAACAGATCTGTGAGAGCCGGAATTCTTACTGGTTGGTAGGTGATCAAATACTTATGTCATGCAATAAAATGCAAATTAATTACTTAAAAATCATACAATGTGATTTTCTGGATTTTTGTTTTAGATTCTGTCTCTCACAGTTGAAGTGTACCTATGATAAAAAATTACAGACATCTACATGCATTGTAAGTAGGAAATCCTGCAAAATCGGCAGTATATCAAATACTTGTTCTCCCCACTGTAGAAGCAAACCGGATGGATATCATGAAAATGATCGGAGAGGTTGAGAGCAGAAGTAGTTCAGGAGAAAAAACAAACAAAATATAATTATTGTAAAATTGACTGTGTCCATAAAATGTATATAGTAAGTATAAGCTGGACGTAGAGGCCTAAGCATTGTTGTTCACTAGTTTACTCCAATTAGGGAAAGGGTGGTGGGGTTGAAAATAATAAAGGGGAATATATATATATATATATATAAACATGGGGGATTGGAAGTGATGCAGACAATTACATTGATGGAAGTTACAATCTATCTGCAATATTAAGCTGATCTACCCACCCCCCCAAAAAAAATAACACAAAAAAATTAATATACAAAAATAATAATGCATCCTTCCTTCCTTCCTTCCTTCCTTCCTTTCTTCCTTCCTTGAAGGAATCACTGACCTGACATGGTTTGTGGACTCAGCATTTACGTTTTAGTAATTTAGCAGTAGCTCTTATCCAGAGAGACTTACAGTGCATTCATCTTAAGATAGCTAGGTGAGACAACCACATATCACAGTCGTAGCAAGTACATTTTTCCTCAATAAAGAAGCTATCAGCAAAGTCGGTGCTAGTAGTGCATGTATTTGTGTTAATTTTTTTAAGCTTTACCCCCAGCTGACATGGTCTTGCAGCCGGGACTGTTTAAAAGCCAAATGTCCTCATAGTACACATTTTACAGTCTAATCTGTTTACACAGCTTTAATAATGGACACACTTTGAAGTTGAAGGTGACGGCTGCCTGGTTAAAATAGATAGGCCCTTGAATGTTGTTGCCTTTATGTCCCTCATTTAACCCGTTATGATGCATCCCATCCTGACAAACCACAATGACAGCCTGTGTATGTGTGTGAGAGAGCCCCTTTGAATTGAATTGAGGGGTGGGGTGGAGGAGACATCGACACAGGCAGAGGGAGAGGAGAGGTGAAACCACTGAAATGATACCTCGATCAGGTAAAGTGAGAATGCCAAGATAGTTTGAACACCTTTTTAATCTGCCCCAACTCACTTCCCTGTATTTTCATAGGAAAGAGGTGCGGGACCTGGGAATGACAGTGGTGATCGACACCAGGAAGAAACCTCCTCCCTCCTTCTTCTACAAAGCCCTACTGATGGTTCAGGTTAGGAAAATAACAGTAATTCCTTCACATTAAGAGTCAACTGTCAAACTATAATCCATCTGCCGATCTAGATTCTGAGATAAAGAGTTGATAGTGGGGTGTCATACCATGAGGTATCTAGTTACTGGGTGTTAAAGGTCATGAACAGTCATGTTTTTCATGAAATTGTATGATATATGAAAGAAACTAGATTCAAGTATGATGACCAAAGTATGAAAAATGACAGTTGTTTCTACATTGATAAAATTTGACCATAAGGTTACTGGTCCCCTACCCCAAAGACATGTATTCATTTTTAAGGGGACAAGGTGACATCACCTTAACTCTCATTTTAATACACCAATGGTAAATTGATATTATCTTACCTAATTGAAATAAGTACCGCCTTGTAACCAACATCAGAGAAGGAGTGGTTGCAGAGGGGCGTGGTTTATATAGCTAGATAGCTACTCTACTGGTCCCAAAATTTGACTGTAGGATGTAAGCAAACATAATTAAAAGGTTACCCTATTCATCTACGGCATCGATACTTATATGCAATGTTCCCTTTATTTATTTTTCGGCACAGAGCTAATTTCAGGTCTGCTGAGCACAAACTTGAACGTTGTGAAAATTCTGTGCAACTTCCAGCGCGCGTTTACTGTAAACACTGAGGCGGTAACCACTTTAAGTTACAGTTTTAACAGTGGCCAAGTAGGCTTTTGTAGCTATTTGATCATAATGTAGGCCTACTGTGACGAGTACTGAGTAGACGAAGAGGCAGGATGCAGACGCAGGTATTAACAAGGTAAAGGTTTACTTAACAATGAGAAAGAGAATAACAAAGAGCGAGTAAAGGACACAGCGCTAACAATTACACACAACAATGAACGAACAGTCCAGGGCTATATAGTGGTGGTGATAAGATGATGAGGTGCAAGTGCGCTGGAGGTGATTAGGGTGCGTTGGGTTTCCATTCCTGTGTTTGCCGAGGTGGTGCACTCAGACCGGTGACTCAGTAGACCGGCGAATCAGAGCGCTGGAGAGGAGCAACGTGAGGAAACGTGACCCCCCCCCCCCCCCCCTTCCTGGCCAGGAAGACGACCCCGAAGACGAGGAGCGGGCCAATGGTGGAAGTCCCGAATAAGGTTGAGGTCCAGAATGTCCACTGCCGGAACTCAGCTCCTCTCCTCAGGGCCAAACCCCTCCCAGTCCACCAGGTAACGGAGCCGTCCCCCATGGAACCTGGAGTCCAGCAGATCCCTCACAGCATACGCCAGACTCCCGTCAATGTCCAGGGTTGGAGGGGGCGTACCCCGGTGGACGGCATATGCCAGAGGACCACCGGCCTGAGGAGAGACACATGAAAAGTAGGTGAGACACCGTAGTGAGGGGGAAGGAGCAGCCAGTACGACACCACATTAATCCGTCAGAGAACCTTAAACGGCCCCACAAACCGGGGGCTCAGTTTCTTGCAGGGCAGGCGGAGAGGGAGGTTTCGAGTGGACAGCCAGACGCGATCACCAGACTGGAATACGGGAGCCTCCCTGCAGTGGCGGTCAGCTTGGTCCTTCCGTCGACGAATGGCCCTCTGGAGACAGACATGGGCGGCGTCCCAAACCTGTCCGGCCCTGCGGAACCACTCGTCGACAGCGGGCGCATTGGTCTGGCTGGGTGTCCAAGGGGCCAGGGCCGGCTGGTACCACAGGATGCATTGGAAGGGAGTGAGCCCCGTGGAGGAGTGAACGAGGGAGTTCTGGACATTTCTGCCCAGGGAAGAAACCTCGCCCACTCACCCTGCCAGTCCTGACAGTGGCAACGAAGAAACCTCCCCAGCTCCTGGTTCATGCGTTCCACCTGCCCATTCGACTGAGGCCTATACCCAGAAGTGAGGCTGGCCGTGTCCCCGATCTTCTCCAGGAAAGCTTTCCACACTCGGGAGGTGAATTGGGGGCCACGGTCCGGGACGATGTCCTCCGGAAGTCCATAGTGCCGGAAGACCTGTTGGAACAGGACCTCAGCAACCTGGAGAACAGAAGGAAGAGATCTACGACCACCATGACAGTGGTGAAGCCGTCAGAACGTGGGAGGTCGGTGACAAAGTCTATGGACAGGTGAGACCAAGGTCGATGAGCCACTGGTAGAGGAACTAGTTTGCCTGCCGGGGCGTTCCGAGGTGTCTTCGTTTGGGCACATACGGAACAGGAGTTGACATAGCAAGAGACATCAGAAGCCAAGATTGGCCACCAGTATTATTGTGCTAGAGAATGCAGGGTGCATGTAATACTGGAGTGCCCTGCCATAAGGGTGGTGTGCGCCCAGATCAGCAGGTGGTAACGGACACTGGTGGGAACGAACACGTGCCCCAGAGGTGCGTTGGCGGGTGCTGTGTCCTCCTGAGCCGCCAGGTGGATGTCTTCGTCCACATCCCAAACGACACGTGCAACGATGAGAGATGGGGGCAGGATAGGACCCCCCAGATCCTTCCTCTCTCCGGTATGTTGCATCCTGGAGTGTGCGTCGGCTTTCACATTCTGGATCCTGGCCTATAGGAAATAATGAATTGAAAGCGAGTAAGACATTGGAACCACCTGGCTTGACGAGAGTTCATGCGTTTCTCTGCCCATATGTGCTCCATATTCAGGTGGTCAGTATGAATCTGGAATGGATGGACTGCACCCTCCAACCATTGTCTCCATTCCTCCAAAGCGAGGATCACCGCCAACAGCTCCCTGTCTCCATCAACATAGTTCCTCTCTGCGGGGTTAAGCTTTTTAGAGAAAAAGGCATAGGGATACGTTTTATCTGGATTACCGTGCCGCTGGGAGAGGACCGCACCCACGCCTTCCTCTGATGCGTCCACCTCCAGGATGAAAGGACAAGATGGATCTGGGTGTTTTAGGATGGGCGCTGTGGTGAACCTCTCCTTCAGCCTCTTGAAGGCAGCGTCAGCCTCAGGGTTCCAGGCCAGCTTCTGAGGCCCACCCTTAAGGAGAGAGGTGAGTGGAGCCGCTATGGAGCTGAAGGACCTGATGAAACGCAGGTAGAAATTGGCGAAGCCCAGGAAGCTCTGTAGGCCCTTGATGGTGGTGGGGACTGGCCATGACCTGACGGTGTCCGTTTTCTCTCTTTCCATGAACACCCCCTGAGGACTGATCCTGTATCCCAGGAAGGAGATGGCCTGTTGGTGGAATTCGCATTTCTCCACCTTCACCAACAGGCTGTGTTCGCGGAGACGGAGTAGGACAGCTCGGATGTCCCTGACGTGCTCCTCGAACGTAGCCGAGTAGATCAGGATATCTCCGATGTACACCACCACCTGTTTACTCAGCATGTCTCGGAATACGTCATTGACGAAGGACTGGAACACAGAAGGTGCGTTGGCGAGGCTGTAGGGCATGACGCAGTATTCATAGTGGCCTGAGGTAGTGCTGAATGCCGTCTTCCACTCATTTCCTTTCTGGATTCGGATCAGGTTGTAGACACTTCTCAGGTCCAACTTGGTAAAGTACCGGGCCCCTTGTAGCTGCTCGACGGAACCAGCGGGAGGTGGTACCGGTACTTGTAGTCAATGCACGGCCTCAGTCCTCAGTCTTTTTTGGCAACGAAGAAGAAGCTGGCGGAGGCAGGAGAGGTAGAGCGTCTGATGAACCCCTGTTTCAGGGTCTCTGCCATATACTTCTCCATGGCCTCAGTCTCAGCCATGGAAAGGGAGTAAATGCGACTCTTCGGGGGGTGTTGTCCCTCCAGCAGGTCAATGGCGCAGTCCCAGGGCCTGTGACGAGGGAGCCACCTAGCCTTTGATGAAGAGAAGACATTGGAGAGATCTGCATACTCACGTGGAATGTTGGGCTGGAGGGCGGACTCCGGACTCTCCACTGACGTGGAACAACAAACCATTGGCAGGCAGGTCTTTCGACATGAGGTGGACCAGGCTGTGATCCTCTTGGTGATCCATTTGATGGTGGGGTTGTGTAGTCTGAGCCAGGGCAATCCCAAGACGATCCAGTGAAGGGGTGACGTGATGATGTGGAATGACAGCTCCTCGTGGTGGTCCGGTAGTGTGGGAATGGTGATGGGGAGAGTGACGTGCTTAATGGTGCTTGATCCCAGTGGTTTATTGTCCAGCAAGGTGACGTGTAGCGGAGAAGGCAGTGGCACGGTGGGCAACCCCCATTCAGAGACCAGTTCCCTATCTATAAGGTTCCCCACTGATCCGGAATCTATCATTGCAGTGGAAATGGAAGAGAAGGAATAACCAGTCACCGTTATGGGAACTAAAAACAATGTTTTTGTGACAGGAGATAACGTAACACTCACGGAGCGGCGACGGGAGTCATACCGCCTAGATTGGAAGCCGCCAGGAGATCTGTGGTCCGTGGTGGTGTAGGGGGTGCTGCCCACCTCCATGGGTGAGGACTCGGAGGCAGGGCGGCTTCCATAGCTCAGATGGGGTGAGCGTCGAGGCTCCAGGAGGTGTTGGGAACGCCGTCTGTCTCTCAACATGTCGTCAAGATGGATGAACGTGGCGATGAGGGTATCAAGGTCTATCTCATCGTAATGACATGCGAGTTCCGTCTTGGTGTCCTCCTGTAAGCCTCTCCTGAAGGCTGTGCGCAGAGTACGCTCATTCCACCCGGAAGACGCCGCCACTGTGCGACAGCTCAGAGCGTACTCGGACGCGGGCCCCTCTCCCTGTTGTAGCTGGAGGAGATGCTCACCCCCGTCCTTTCCCTCCGTGGGATGATCAAACACCGCCCTGAACCGAGCGAGGAAGGTGGAGTAGGGCCGTAGCCCAATCCAGCGCCTTTCTTTTAAGTAGCGAAATCACCAGCGCTAACCTGGCTTGGTCAGATGGATATGCCCCAGCATGACGCGCCAGATAAAGTGAAACCTGTAGCAGGAAGCCGCTACATTTAGTAGTTTTACCGTCATAGCGCTCCGGTAGGGCAAGGGTTCCCCCAGAAAAGGGTGATGGCATGGGAACAGGTGGATTGGGTGCACTCGCCGCTCCCTGAGGTGGAACCGGAACGCTGGGCAGATTATGCAGAGTTTGGAGCACTTCCTGCATGACGGTGTTCAACTGGGCAAGCTGCTGCTGTTGCTGGTCGATGCACTAGGAAAGTCCTGCTGCATCTATTTTTATGAGTGGTGTGTAATTCTGTGACGAGTACTGAGTAGACGAAGAGGCAGGACGCAGATGCAGGAATTAACAAGGTAAAGGTTTACTTAACAATGAGAAAGAGAATAACAAAGCGCGAGTAAATGACACGATGCAAACAATTACACACAATGAACGAACAGTCCAGGGCTATATAGTGGTGGTGATGAGATGATGAGGTGCAGGTGCGCTGGAGGTGATTAGGGTGCGTTGGGTTTCCATTCCTGTGTTTGCCGAGGTGGTGCGCCCCGCCTGGGGCTCAGTAGACCGGCGAATCAGAGCGCCGGAGGGGAGCAACAGGAGGAGACGTGACACCTACCAGAGTGGCCTACCATCAAAAACACAAAGAAAATGCATCCCATAACATTTTAACATGGAAATAGCTGTTCTAACATTCAGCCTATAGTATCAGCCAATGTTTGGTGTTCAATGTAGGTCTACATTCCATGAGACTTTTGAAAAAAACATGCAGGGTTTGACATTAACCTGTTTATTCACTTGTCCTTCAGACAAGGACGTGATTGAAAATGTTTTGATTTGTTTGATGCAAGAAACCACCACTTAACAAAATAAAATGCATTATTATTCCCATACCATTATTACAGAGAATCAGACAAATTATGCTAGACTCTGCCTATTGGCTACTTAGCTAATTCAAGCCTGTCTCAAGATACAACACTGCCCCTTTGAGACAAAAAAAAGCTCTTTACTTGAGTCGCTTTTCAAAGATGTCTAGAAATGTACACGTTTTGTGCTCTTGTAGGAAGCAATCACTCCCCTATTGCTGACTACAAATGATCTATAACTGGGCTAATAACTCACTAAATAGCAAAGGATATGAACAAAATGTGCACACGTGGCTACATGCAGCTCTCACTTTGCTCTCAAAACAAGCGTGTCTAATCATGACCGCTCATGCTGTAAATACAGTCCAGTTCAAATTGAATGGCACAGATCCATATATGGCAATGGTCTATTTGCATATAGGCCTACTGCAGCTCTGATTGGTTATGCCGCACCGGTCTGTGTAGAGTACGGGTGTGTGTCAATGCAATAGAATCCTACTCCGATGTGTTCTGCCTACCACAAAATCTCTTGCATAGTTAGTTTTGCATACTAAGTCTTGCATTGAAAGTGACTAATATTGCATTGATTCGATCACAATTGCCACAGTAAAGGGAAACGTTGGTAGTTTTAACTAACAGGGAAAACTCTAGAAAGTTGAGTGAAGTTCAATCTCGTGCTTCTCATGGAGGCTGATATTTCTTCTGCACGGCAGTCCCGGGGAGCTGCGTGGCAGTCCCGGAGCTACTGCACTCTCGCACCCAGCTTAGCGGGGAACATTGCTTATATGTTCATCTGTGTCTGGTTTTAGCTAGTTGCTAGTAGGTCTTCATTTGTGTCTGGTGTTAGCTAATTACTGGCTAGCTAGGTCATTAGCCAGCATGGAACAAAAGGGGGGGAAGGGTCGTTCAAAACTCTGATGCAGTTGTCAAGTCAACACATCCATCAGTGCTGCTGGGAACCGCATCACTAGAGACATGCCAAACGGGAGATGTATAAAATATATATATATAATTGACGCGTTTCAATGTTTGATTTGCTTTGTGTATCACCAAATTTGCTTGAGATGATTTTACTGCAACACTGCTCACTGCATCCAAGTTACTTGACATTTGCATTTCAAAGAGCTGTCAGTCAATATAAACTCCCTGCCCACTCAGCCTGTCTTTTCAATCTTCCTGGTAGTTAGCCATGCGAGAAATAGTCATTTTCAGAATGACTGTTCAGGACCTTTAAAATGCTTTATGGAGGTATCTAGTTACTGGGTGTTAAAATGCTAAACAACCAACATGTCTATACTGAAGAACAAGAGATGCAAAAATGTTTCAATGGAACCTGCATTCATATTGCATACATAATGAGGATCTGCAATGATGTCTTGTCCTGACATGTTTCCTTATTGGTCCATAGGAACAAGCCCTGCATACAGTCCACAGTGTGCTGATGCTAGTGGATAAAGATACAAGCCCTCGCCCTGAAAGACACCCTGGACTACAGGTCAAAGGGCATACACACACACGTACAGTGGCTTGCGAAAGTATTCACCCCCTTGGCATTTTTCCTATTTTGTTGCCTTACAACCTGGAATGAAACTTGATTTTTTGTGGATTTGTATAATTTGATTTACACAACATGCCTACCACTTTGAAGAGTCAAAATATGTTTTATTGTGAAACAAACAAGAAATAAGACATAAAAACAAAAAAACTTGAGCATGTATAACTATTCATCCCCCCAAAGTCAATACTTTGTAGAGCCACCTTTTGCAGCAATTACAGCAGCAAGTTTCTTGGGGTATGTCTTTATAAGCTTGGCACATTTAGCCACTGAGATTTTTCAAAACAAAACTGCTCCAGCTCCTTCAAGTTGTACCACAGATTCTCAATTGGATTGAGGTCTAGGCTTTGACCAGGCCATTCCAAGACATTTAAATGTTTCCCTCTTAAACGACTCAAGTGTCACTTTAGCAGTATGCTTAGGGTCATTGTCCTGCTGGAAAGTGAACCTCCGTCCCAGTCTCAAATCTCTGGAAGACTGAAACAGGTTTCCCTCAAGAATTTCCCTGTATTTAGCGCCATCCATCATTCCTTCAATTCTGACCAGTTTCCCAGTCCCTGCCGATGAAAAACATCCCCACAGCATGATGCTGCCACCACCATGCTTCACTGTGGGGATGGTGTTCTCGGGGTGATGAGAGGTGTTGGATTTGCGCCAGACATAGCGTTTTCCTTGATGGCCAAAAAGCTCAATTTTTGTCTCATCTGACCAGAGTACCTTCTTCCATATGTTTGGGGAGTCTCCCACATGCCTTCTGGTGAACACCAAACGTGTTGGCTTATTTTATTCTTTAAGCAATGGCTTTTTTCTGGCCACTCTTCCGTAAAGCCCAGTTCTGTGGAGTGTACGGCTTAAAGTGGTCCTATGGACAGAAACTCCAATCTCCGCTGTGGAGCTTTGCAGCTCCTTCAGGATTATCTTTGGTCTCTGTTGCCTCTCTGATTAATGCCCTCCTTGCCTGGTCCATGAGTTTTGGTGGGCAGGTTTGTTGTGGTGCCAATTTCTTTCATTTTTTTAAATAATGGATTTAATGGTGCTCCGTGGGATGTTAAAACTTTGTCCCTGACCTGTTTGGAGAGCTCCTTGCTCTTCATGGTGCCACTTGCTTGGTGGTGCCCCTTACTTAGGGGTGTTGCAGACTCTGGGGCCTTTCAGAACAGGTGTATATATACTGAGATCATGTGACAGATCATGTGACACTTAGATTGCACACATGTGGACTTTATTTAACTAATTATGTGTCTTCTGAAGGTAATTGTTTGCACCAGATCTGATTTAGGGGCTTCATAGCAAAGGGGGTGAATACATATGCTCGCACCACTTTTCCGTTATTCATTTTTTTGCATTTTTTGAAACAAACAATTTTTTTCATTTCACTTCACCAATTTGGACTATTTTGTGTATGTCCATTACATGAAATCCAAATAAAAATCAATTTAAATTACAGGTTGTAATGCAACAAAATAGGAAAAATGCCAAGGGGGATGAATACTTTTGCAAGGCACTGTACACTAATCTGAAAGCAATAGGAGGGATGCGTCCTTTCCTCATCTTCAAAGGCTGCAATCTGCGACTATTGAGACACGTCCACACAGGCCCTCGCTCTGTAATATGACTGACCCCTCCCCACGTGCCTCCTGTCAATCAGATGGACATGGTGACCTCTCTGAAGGCCCTGCACAAGCTGGTGGAGGGACAACAGCTGACTTCTGACCTGGGCGGGACCTTCCCCTACAGCCACACTGATTGGCTGCAGTTTCATCAGGTGCAGTAGAATATTTATAAATGGTTTTAGCATATGTAATGGCCTCTTTAAATAATTTGTATGGTCAAGATTTCTAGAAGTTTACCAAATAGGCTATACAAGTGTCATTAAATACATTTTACATCGTTGTTGACGGATGTAGGATCTTAATTCGATCACCCTGTTGCAGGAGAGCTTTCCTGCAATTCAGGAAATGTAAAACTTGTAGTGTAGTTGTGGTGAATGATGGACGGAGTCAGGCGCAGGAGTAAAATAACCGGATGCAGATTTATTCCTTCCAGACATACAATGCGCCTACAACGGCAATCGAAACAGGTACAGGGGAAACAATCCTCCCTGACCAAACACAGTCTCAGAAAATACAATAAATGTAATGACACAGGGGAAAATCAACCCTGGCAAAATAAATGAGAGAGTATCTCAACCGAGCTACTCTCCTCCCACATAGAACAATCACTCACAAAGACAAGGGGGCAGAGGGAACACTTATACACAGACTAATTAGGGGATGAGCACCAGGTGTGTGTGATTGACAAGACAAGACAAGTGGAGTGATGAGAATGGGAGCGGCAGTAGCTAGTAAGCCGGTGACGACGAACGCCGAAACCTGCCCGAACAAGGAGGGGAGGCAGCCTTGGCGGAAGTTGTGACAGTAGTTGAGGTTTAAAAAGGCCTCTGAAGTTTTTTTATTTCCACTTTGAAATTTCAGACTTGAAATGTAAAAATCAACCCCTATATGTGCATTAATTATAATCCACATAATAATTCACATTTCCTGTTGCTGCAGGACTAGTCAACAAGGATCTTCTTGGGATAGTGTGCGAGGAATCAGTCTGGGCTTGTTCACATAGCTGTTGTCATTGGTATTCCGAAGCATAAATCCCCCCAATCTATTGCATTGGCTTTGTTTTGAGTGTGGATCTATATTATTCTTGCGTTTCAGAAACTAGTTTCCTTTGTGTCGGACTTGCAAGGGGCAGCCCATTTACTACATAGAGCAATCAAGAAAATTGATGGCAATCCAAAAATGGACACCGCCCAGGTATCTACAGTTTCGTTAAATAACTTAACTAAGTATCTTCATTTATTCTAAGTGTAATGCATTATTTTGTCAGGGCAGATTTATTTTTTTGCTTTAGGTTGTTGTTGTTGTTGTTTTTTGTTCAGGATGTTCAGCTATGTATTCAAGATCAGAAGACCTCAATGAAAGAGGTACTGCAGGACACCCGATTGGTTACTTTACAGAGAGAAGGTGGGGCCATCCTGGCCAGAATGAGGAGAGAAGAGTTTCGATTTGCCAAGTCCGATGACTACAGGTATTGCTCTTCATCAAATTCATGATTTGTTGTGGATAACTGATGTGTAACACCCAAAAGAATGGTGAAAGCCCTCCAGGACACTACCCAAGCTAAAACGGGCTTTGTGGCAAGTGACCACTATCCATCCATCTCTATGGTATCACCCATCTAGGTGATGCCACAACAGCCATTTTGTGCCAGAACTCCATAAACCATCTATCATTGTGAAGAGGTGAGGACAAGAGTGAATGTTTGCTAACATCCACCTCTCACTACAGTGATGCTTTGGAGTCAGTGACGGTCCTGTATAACCAGGTGGAGGAGAGTGTTCATATGCTGGTGATGAGATCCAACGAGTCACAGCAGCACCTGGACTTCCTGCTCAAACTCAGGGAGGCGGAGACAAATCTCGACACGGTAGGTCAGGAGGTTGCAACTTTACAGGACATTCAGATAGAAGTAGTGTCTTCAGAAATTATTCACACCCCTTCACTTTTTCCACATTTTGTTGTGTTACAGGCTGAATTTAAAATGGACAAAAACAAGTTTGTCACCTGCTTACACCTAATAACCCATAATGTCAAAGTGGAATTATGTTTTTAGACATTTTTACAAATTAATAAAAAATGAAAAGCTGAAATGTCTTGAGTCAATAAGTATTCAACCTCTTTGTTATGGCAAGCCTAAATAATTTCAGGAGTAAAAATGTGCTTAACCAGTCACATAATAAGTTGCATGGACTCTGTGTGCAATAATAGTGTTTAACATGAATGACTACCTCATCTCTGAACCCCACACATACAATTATCTGCAAGGTCCCTCAGTAGAGCAGTGGATTTCAAACACAGATTCAACCACAAAGACCACGGAAGTTTTCCAATGCCTCTTGGTGGATTGGTGGTAAAATATATATATATATATATATAAGCAGACATTGAATATCCCTTTGAGCATGGTGAAGTTATTAATTACACCTTGGATGGTGTATCAATACACCCAGTCACTACAAAGATACAGGCGTCTTTCCTAACTCAGTTGCCGAAGAGGAAGGAAACCAATCAGGGATTTCACCATGAGGCCAATGGTGACTTTAAAACAATTAGAATGTAATGGCCGTGATAGGAGAAAACTGAGGATGGATCAACATTGCAGTTACTCCACAATACTAACCTAATTGACATAGTGAAAAGAAGGAAGCTTGTACAGAATGGAAATATTCCAAAACATGCATTCTGTTTGCAACAAGGCACTAAAGTAAAACTGCAAAAAAATGTGGCAAAGCAATTCACTTTTTGTCCTGAATACAAAGTGTTATGTTTGGGGCAAATCACATACAACACATTACTGAGTACCACTCTCCATATTTCCAAGCATAGTGGTGGCTGTGTCATGTTATGGGTATGTGTCACGATCATTCATGAACAAGAAGGACCAAGGCGCAGCGTGATATGCATTCGGAGTGGAGCAGCTGACCGGTGCCGGACCAGGCACCGGTGGAACAGGCACGGGCCGTGCCGGACTGGACACACGCACCACTGGCTTGGTGCGGGGAGCAGGCACGGGCCGGACTGGGCTGACGACGCGCACCACTGGCTTGGTGCGGGGAGCAGGAACGGGCCGGACCGGGCTGACAACGCGCACCCCTGGCTTGGTGCGGGGAGCAGGAACGGGCCGTACCGGACTGGCGACACGCACCACTGGCTTGGTGCGTGGAGCAGGCACTGGCCGGACTGGGCTGACGACGCGCACCACTGGCTTGGTGCGGGGAGCAGGAACGGGCCGGGCCGGACTGGGAACACGCACCACTGGCTTGGTGCGGGGAGCAGGAACGGGCCGGGCCGGACTGGGAACACGCACCACTGGCTTGGTGCGGGGAGCAGGAACGGGCCAGGCCGGGCTGGCGACGCGCACCACTGGCTTGGTGCGAGGGGCAGGAGCAGGCCGGACCGGCGACGCACACCACTAGTTTGGTGCGAGGGACAGGAACAGGCCAGACCGGGCTGGCGACGCGCACCACAGGCTTGATGCGAGGAACAGGAACAGGCCGAACCGTACTGGGAACACGTACCACTGGCTTAGTGCGGGGAGCAGGAACGGGCCGGACCGGACTGGCGACACCCACCACTTGATTGCTGCCTAACCAGCTCATCTCGCCGTGCCTCTACACTTTCCTTCTGCTCCCTCTGAACCAATTGCCCCCCTAATCTGGTGGCCTCCTCTGCTAACCAGCGGAACCGCCCTATCTCGGCCTCCTGCTGCCTCGTCGACCACGCCGTGTGCCCCCCCCAAAAAAATTGTTGGGCTTGTCTCTCCACCGTGATCAGGGCCTCCATCCCTCTTGCCAGCCTCTCTCTCTCATCTCCTCCCAAGTCCATCCTCTCTCCTCGTCACGCTGCTTGATCCAGGATTGGTGGGATCTTCTGTCACGATCGTTCATGAACGAGAAGGACCAAGGCGCAGCGTGATATGCATTCATATTTATTTACGTACTGAACACACGACAAAACAAAAAGTCCAAGGTAGACAAAATAACATACTTCACACGGAACAAGATCCCACACCTAACAGGTGTCAAAAGGCTGCCTAAGTATGGTCCCCAATCAGAGACAACGAGTGACAGCTGCCTCTGATTGGGAACCGCACATCTGATTTCACTGCTTGCATCAGTTACCTGATATGGAATAGACTTCCATGTAGTCATGGCTCTATGTAGTACTCTGCACCTCCCATAGTCTGTTCTGGACCTGGGGACTGTGAAGAGACCTCTGGTGGCATGTCTTGTGGGGTATGCATGGGTGTCTAGAGCGGCGCACAATTGGCCCAGCGTTGTCCAGGATAGGGGAGGGAATGGCCGGCAGGGATGTAGCTCAGTTGGTAGAGCATGGCGTTTGCAACGCCAGGGTTGTGGGTTCGATTCCCATGGGGGCCAGTATAAAAAATTATGTATGCACTCACTAACTGTAAGTCGCTCTGGATAAGAGCGTCTGCTAAATGACTAAAATGTAAATGTGTCTGAGCTGTGTGCTAGTTGTTTAAACAGACTAACAGCTTTCAACATGTCAATACCTCTCACAAATACAAGAAGTGATAAAGTCAATCTCTCCTCCACTTTGAGCTAGGAGAGATTGACATGCATATTATTAATGTTTGCTCTCTGTGTACATCCAAGGGCCAGCCGTGCTGCTCTGTTCTGTGCCAATTGCAATTTTCCTAACTGCCTCTTTGTGGCACCTGACCACACGACTGAACAGCGGTCCAGGTGAAAGAATAACCTAAGACACAAGGCCAAATCTACACTGGAGTTGCTAATGGATGTTCCTGAGTGGCCGAGTTACAGTTTTGCCTTAAATCTACTTGAAAATATATGGCAAGACCTGAAAATGGCTAGCAATGATTAACAACCAATTTGACAGAGCTTGAAGAATAATGGGCAAATGTTGCACAATCCAGGTGTGGAAAGCTCTTAGAGACTTAACCAGAAAGACTCACAGCTGTAATCGCTGCCACAGGTGCTTCTACAAAGTATTGACTCAGGGGTGCGAATACTTATGTAAATTAGATTTCTGTATTTTATTTTCAATACATTTGCAAAATTTCTAAAAACATATTTTCACTTTGTCATTATGACGTATTGTGTGTAGATGTGTGAAATTATTATTATTTTTCATCCATTTTGAATTCAGGCTGTAACACAACAAGATATGGAATAAGTCAAGGGGTATGAATACTTACTGAAGGCACTGTATATCGTGTACAACAGCCGTTCTTCTGTGTCACAGAGAATAGGCAACTACACCTGCCTGCTCTTGCTAAATCAAGGACACCTAAAATGATTGAAAGAAAACAAGTACTATTTTCACCCAGGTCTGATTAGTATGCCTTATGATATATATTTCCCTATCTGAATGTGGACCTCGTAGGCCAAGACATGGTTTAATACAGAAGGAGAACAACAGCTAAAGGACTCCAAGTCAACTGAGGACACCCTGGAGAGTGTGAGCCAAGCCCTTCAGCACTTTGGCTCCTTCCTCACCCAGGCCAAGGTACAGCTGAGCTGGGGTTAGACAGTTTAACCAAGCTTATGAGGTATATTCAAGTCAATGATCCAAAATGGTTGTAAAACTCACAGAGGGCTGATTCCTTAGTTGAGATCTATAGATGTGACTCACATTTTTCTGTAGACCCCCTATTGACATTAGTGAAGGCTATACGCAAAAGTCTGGTTTGTGTAGATATTTAGGCCTTGTCTCAAGTTAGGATTGGACTCTTAAGAGGGGAGAAACTGCATTCAATACACCCAGATGAGCCAGGTGAATAATTTTTTTCAGAAAATAAATTCCATCTCATTCTTCACAGATTTATGTTTACTTGACCATATTATTTTGAGATATCCATTTCATCATTTATTTCCTCTTACTCCACAGCTGCAAGAAAAAACAGTTGGAGCATATTTTCTCAGAACAAATAACGAAAACCTATTTTTCACAATGAATTATCATGCGCTTATCAGAGCTTACGTAATGTGAAGATGGGGAGGAAAAGCAGGAGAGGTGGGAGTTGAAATCTCTGTTATTCATCATAGGAGAAAAAACAGCAGACCTTGAAACTGATGATGGAGGTTGAGAAGATTCTGGGTCCCACCAACTCTAACACTGAGATGGAGGTTTTTCAGACCGTGATGAACACTTTCAAATCTAATATGGCCGACTTTCTGTTGCGAGCGGAGCAAAGGCGTACTGAGCTTGACAACATGGTGCATGTCTATCACTTCTGTGAACAGGTTAGTCAAGCAATACCCTGGTCCTTTCAAAACCTCCTTTCAATCTCGTTTTACTATTTTATTCCTTCCTTTCAGCCTGGTTCTGGGTCAATTCCACTGAAATTCCAGTCAGCAACAGGATATGTTTTTCACTTTGATGGAGGACTGACAGGAATTAAAATGGAATTGATTCTAACTCTGCATCATTTCTCCCACCATATTACTTTTACCACCACGGACAGGCCCCCTCTTTCACCCCTAGCCACAACAATCATCAATCCCTCCCATCAAACTTTTCAGAACCCCAACTTCCCATCCAAGTAATACACAACAAAAAACACTTAACTTCTAACACTTCTGAAATAACACTGTAAAACTAACAGTGCTCTCTGTATTGTTTCCTCTAGGCTGCTGCCCTAGCCAAGGAATGCAGGCAATATCTTGAGCAGGTAGAGACAGGGTGTTACCCTGCCAATGCCAATCTAAGTACACTTAAGACCTACAATGAGAGATTGGGTGACTGCTTCTCGGCCCGACACTTCCAGACTGTGAAAGCCAAAGCCTACAGTGCGAGGGGCTCTGGGGGGAAGAGGCTGTGGAATGCCGCCTGGATCCAGTGCCAAGAAGTCAGCCAGCGGCTGGGGGAGAGATTGCAACAGCGGGGCGATGCAGCTGACAAAGACCAGCCGCAGCCCAACGCCGGCGGAGCTCACTTGAAGAGCAGGGTGTTAGAGACAGGAAAGGAGAGGGAAGAGGAGAAGGAGGAGGAGGTGGTGGCCCCTTGCTCCCTCGCTCTTGCCTCAACCTCCCCTCCAGGGGTGGCCGATAACTCGGGGAGGTCCTCCCGGGACCAGATGGAGAGCAGAGACAGCCGTACTAGGGACAGCGCTCACATCACATGTTTTAACCTCCCTTTCAAAGCGGACTCGAAAGGGAGCAAAGGAGCCAAAGAAGTGTCCCAGTCACCTAAATCCCCAGGCAAAGAGGGGAAACTGATACCAGTGGTGCCTCAAGATAGAGGAGGTGGACTAGGGAGGCGCCACAGCGAGGCGGACCTCAAGAGGGGGGATCCGATTGGCGAGTGTGAGCCATTTCCATGGCAACACGGCGCCTTGGGGCGCTCCCTGAGTGAGAGTTCCTGTATGAGCTCTCTCCTGTCCTCAGAGTGTGGCTCCTCCCCCTTATCGGCAAGACACTCCCATAGCCGGCCCTTAGTAGTGGCACTGCTGTCACCCCAAAACCCTTATGATATCTCCCGTAATGGAAGTTTCTGCTCTGGCCACTCCTGCTGTGAGTCAAATGGGGACAGAGACGGGGACAGGGAAGGTGGTGACCCCATACAGGTGTCTTCAGTGTCCTTGACTGACCCTATTGGTGATGAGACACAGGAGGACTCGTCATTAGCCGACACACAAGCTGAAGAAAATGGCAGCAATGTCCTGTGAGTGATGCACCTCCTCCTTCTCAACAGCTATCAGATAAACGTTTTCCCAGAAATTCCCACAAAACCAGCATAGATGCGATAAAGAGGTCAATGCAATGCAGACCGTGACGGATAGAAGAAGGATACCAGGTTGGCGCATGTTCAACAAATCTGCTCCAACAAAGTGCATAGTCAAAAAAGTAGATCATGACGGATGTATTGTAACAGGCCCACAATGTGGTTACTAAAGTCTGATTTGGGTATATGTTCGTATAAGATGGTAGCATAGCTAGCATAGAGAAATCGGTGGTGGTAGTCAAAGTCGTTTTTAACTGTAATGCAGTTCAGTTGATTGGTGATGATGACATGAACATGTATTCGGTTTGACATCCATACAAGCATTATACTTCTATTTTTACCTCAACATAGTGTGAAATACACAAATTAACAATAGCCTAAATGTAGGGTAATTTTGCTGGGGGGATCTTTCCCCCACGTCATCTTTCCCCCACGCGTTTCCATGGCATTTCCATTGTTTGGTCGAGTTCCATTGACCTCCTTACCGCATCTATGCCATTAGTCACACAAGCTATTATCAGTTTATTTATTTTTTATGTGAATGAGTTTATGGGAAATATGTCTTAAATAAACAAATGAGTGACAAATTACATTTACAGCATGCAGTGTTAGTATAAATGCAGCAAAGAGATAGTTTCTCTTTCGGTCTTTGTTAGATTTCAGATTAGGACTAGTTGCCTGCAATCTTTACAATAACTACATTAAGGAAACCGGTCACTGTTTATTTAGATAATCCCCTATAGATTATCTACAGATGCTCAAACTACCAACAAACTATCAACTGCAACTCAGTTGAAATGCAACAGCTTGCTAGGGTTACAGGGAAATGTTACAAGGTTAGGTTTATGGTTAAAGTAGGTAGGGTTAGGGTAAGGATTAAATTAGAGAATGCATTGTCCAAATTCCTCCTCCTTAAAATTCCCAATTTCCTGTTTCCTGTGTGGACAGGAAGTTGCAGAGGATCATGGAGGAGCTGTTGTTAACTGAGAGGGAGTATGTACGATCTCTAGGCTACGTACGAGAGCACTACTTCCCCGAGCTGGAGAGGCCTGATGTGCCTCAGGACCTAAGGGGTCAGAGGGGGAACATTTTCGGCAACCTGGAGAAGCTCCATGACTTCCACCGCCACCACTTCCTGAAAGAACTGGAGGGCTGCCTACGAGAACCCTTCAGAGTGGGACGCTGCTTCCTACGACATGTGGGTTCCCATGGTTACGTACATTAACCATGTGATAACTAAACCTAACCTTAAAGGGATATTTCCATCTTTTGTTCATAAATCCACTGTTAATACAATCCCCAAAATGTTGCATGTCAGCAGTCACATTTTCAAGAGCGCTTTCAGTACAGAGCAAAAACTGTGATGATGCGTTTTAAGTGATTGATGGCACCCTTTCAAGGGTAGTGTACCCATCACTTCACAGAGAAGTTAAAAGGACAGTTAGTAACACTGGTATAACAGTATTTAGTAACACTGGTATAACAGTATTTAGTAACACTGGTATAACAGTATTTAGTAACACTGGTATAACAGTATTTAGTAACACTGGTATAACAGTATATTTTAATCCAACTGTTCTTAAACAAACAATCATCAAGTGTTTTACAATTGGTTTACTTTTTGGGGTGAGAGACGTTTCAGTCTTTTTATTATAAGTTATTTTTTCCTCTGTTTGGCACTCACCAACAATAAGTGATGTGGACCGCATGCCACAAGTCAGGTCAATTATAATATTGAGAAATCAACAGGCACATAGGTTCTACCGCTGTGTAAAATAGAATACAATAATAATACTTTATATTTTATTTATTTGTATTTTTTATTGAATTCTGTGGTTCTCCCCCTATCCAGAGAGAGAGCTTTGGTCTGTACGCCCTCTTTAGCAAGAACAAACCCCAGTCAGACAGCTTACTCATCAACCACGGCCATGACTTTTTCAAGGTGAGGACGTCAAATAAACTGTCAGAGTACACTGATATTACAGTAGATAAGGCAATGCTCATCCTTATGTGAAGTATTTGTAGTGGAAGTGCCACCGGAACAATGGTGTTTGCAACCAAAAAAAATTGAAATACCCTTTATTAACAGTATATTATAACTTGCATGTCCCAACCGGGTTGTGGTCAATTCTATTTCAATTCGGTCAACAATCAAATTCCAATTGGAATTTCTGTTTTTACTTTCTGAATTGAATGAATGATATGGAATTATCTCCAACAATGTTTTCCTAACAATCCAGCAAAAACAGCTGCAGCTGGGGGACAAGATGGACCTGTCTTCTTACCTGCTGAAGCCTGTGCAGCGCATCAGCAAGTACAGCCTACTGCTGCAGGACATGGTGAGGGAGTGCGGGCCCAACAGGAGCTGTGAGGAGGCCGAGGTCCAGCACGCCCTGGAAGTCATCCAGTTCCAGCTGCGGCATGGCAACAACCTGCTGGCCATGGACGACATCCAGGACTGTGATGTGAGTGAGGATTGGGGAAGAGAGGATTGGGGAAGAGGGGATTGAAGGGAGAGGGAGGAAAGGAGGATTGAAGAGTAACAATGTTGGTGATTGGAGAGGAGAGGAGAGGAGAGGTTGGTAATATATACATCAAGTATTTTCTCCTTGGAATAGATTTGTGTTTGGGGGTGAAGTCAATCAAGCAAATGTATTTATAAAGCCCTTTTTAAGGTAGTTTGGGCATCAGTCTGGTTAGCTAACATTCCTCTCCTTGTACTCTGCGTCATATGCCAAATATTTAAAATATAATGTTAACCAGTTGTGCTTTCAATCCCAAGGGGGACCCTTACCCTGGCTTAAGAGAACAACATTTACCAGAACAAGGTGTAACATAATGGCTGTCAAAAATATATATACGCCGTTAATTGCATCTCCATTTGTTCACCGCACTGACCCTTTTAAGTGCACGTGTTTCCTCACAGACCCTTGTAAGCGCAACACACAACACGCTCTGTGCCATGTGCCGTCAGTGTACCCTCTGTCTCGCTATCACTGTATGTCTCTATTGTGGTGCACTACGCTTGCAACTTTTAACAACAATTTTGAAGGAAAACGTACAGAAAGTTAAACCATAAACACATTCCCAGCCGTTTCTTTAGATAACAGCAAAAACATAATCTCCGTAGCCGATGTGAGTAAGACCTGTAAACAAGTGTCTTCAATTACATTTTAATTTCTGTAGAAATAACTTGTTTCAAGCAGACTGCTATAGTCCCCGTGCCGAAAAATGCCAAGGTAACCTTCCTAAATGACTATAGCCTGTAGCACTCACATCTATAGCCATGAAATGCCTTGAAAGGCTGGTCATGTGCTATTTTGTGTGTTTTTTTCATGTTGTTTGTAACTTATTTTGTACATAATGTTTCTGCCAATGTCTCTTATGACCAAAAAGAGCTTCTGGATATCAGAACAGCTGTCACGATCGTTGTAAGAGGCAGACCAAGGCGCAGCGTGATAGGCATACATCTTTTAATGAGTACTTGACACCAACAACAAAACAACAAAACGATACGTGAAGTCTAAAGGTTCACCAACACAAACCTATACAACAAGATTCCACAATCAACTGTGCAAAACAGGCTGCCTAAGTATGGTTCCCAATCAGAGACAACGAGCTACAGCTGCCTCTGATTGGGAACCACCCTGGCCAACATAGATCTAAACGATCTAGAATAAACATATAGAACAACTAAACATAGGAACTAACACCCTGGCTCAACATTAAAGAGTCCCCAGAGCCAGGGCGTGACAGTACCCCCCCCCCAAAGGCGCGGACTGCGAACGTACCAACCAAACACCACAGGGGAGGGGCCGGGTGGGCATTCCGCCTCGGAGGCGGATCCGGCTCCGGGCGTGACCACCACTCTCTCTCTCGCCCTCGTGGTCTGGCCCTGCTGACCGGAGCTGGACTGAACACCGGTGGAGCGGATTGCTCTGGCTCCGGCGTGGAGCAGCTGACCGGTGCCGGACCAGGCACAGGTGGAACAGGCACGGACCGTGCCGGACTGACGACGCGCACCACTGGCTTGGTGCGGGGGGCGGGAATGGGCCGGACCGGGCTGACGACGCGCACCACTGCCTTGGTGCGGGGAGCAGGTACGGGCCGGACCGGGCTGACGACGCGCACCACTGGCTTGGTGCGGGGAGCAGGAACAGGCCGAACCGGATTGGCGACGCGCACCACTGGCTTGGTGCGGGGAGCAGGAACAGGCCGGACCGGGCTGTGGAGACGGACTGGAGGTCTGGAGCGAAGAGCTGACACAACACGTCCTGGCTGAATGCCTATTTCTACACACTCTGTGTGAGGCATCAGCACAGGACGTACAGGGCTGTGCACTCGTACTGGCACTACAGCACGTGGCACTGGCGCAGGATATCCGGGACCGAGGAGGGGTACTGGAGGCCACGAGCGTTGAGCCGGCACACTCCGTCCTGGCCGCATGCCCACCTTAGCACGACACGTGCGTGGTGCTAGCACAGGACGTACAGGACTGTGCCGGACCACTCGCGGCACATTACGCAGCTCCGCATAACTCGGAACCTGCCCAGTCTCACGCTGCCTAGCCTGAGTACGGGGAGTTGGCTCTGCTCTACCTCTAGGCTCCGCCAACCTCCCTTCCAGCCCCCCAAACCTGGTGGCCTCCTCTCCTAATCCGCCGATACGTCCTGTAGCTGCCTCCAGCATCCCCGTCGTCCATGCCGTGTGCCCCCCCCAAAAAAAATTATTGGGGTTGCCTTTCGCCTGTCCGACGACGGCACGGTTGGCGCCGAACCTCCTCTCTCGCCATGGCCTTAACTTTTGCCCATGGCCCTCTGCCCGCGAACATGTCCTCCCAAGACCACCATTCGCCCACCTGGGACATCGCCAACTTCTCCAGTTCCTTACCCGGCGTTTGCTCCTGAACACGCTGCTTGGTCCTTCTTTGGTGGGATCTTCTGTCACGATCGTTGTAAGAGGCAGACCAAGGCGCAGCGTGATAGGCGTACATCTTTTAATGAGTACTTGACACCAACAACAAAACAACAAAACGATACGTGAAGTCTAAAGGTTCACCAACACAAACCTATACAGAACAAGATCCCACAATCAACTGTGCAAAACAGGCTGCCTAAGTATGGTTCCCAATCAGAGACAACGAGCTACTGCTGCCTCTGATTGGGAACCACCCTGGCCAACATAGATCTAAACGATCTAGAATAATCACATAGAACAACTAAACATAGGAACTAACACCCTGGCTCAACATTAAAGAGTCCCCAGAGCCAGGGCGTGACAACAGTGATTACTCACCTTGAACTGGATGAAGATTTTTTCTTAAACGAGTCGGACATGAAGGATTTACTGCTGATACCGGACCAGGCCCAAATCCCTGTCATTTAGATAGAGGGGATGCAGGTCCGGGTGCCTTGTGAGAATTAGTTAGCGAGTGGGTAACCCGCCTTTACCATTCGTCCTATTGGCCAATGTGCAATCATTGGAGAATAAACTGGATGAGGTCCGTTCAAGACTATCCTACCAATGGGACATTCAAAACTGTAATATCTTATGTTTCACCGAGCCGTGGCTGAACGACTGTCACGATCGTTGAGAGACGGGTCAGACCAAGGTGCAGCGTGGCATGCAAACATGTTTATTAAATCAAATAAACATTAAACAAAACAAGAAACAACGTAACGTGAAGTCCTCAGGCTAAACACATACGAGCCTAACACGGAATAAGATCCCACAAACATAGTAGGCAAACAGGCTACTTAAGTATGATCCCCAATCAGAGACACCGGCCAAACATAGAAACACAATACCTAGATCACAAACATACACTGCTCAAAAAAATAAAGGGAACACTTAAACAACACATCCTAGATCTGAATGAATGAAATAATCTTATTAAATACTTTTTTCTTTACATAGTTGAATGTGCTGACAACACAATCACACAAAAATTATCAATGGAAATCAAATGTATCAACCTTGGGAGGTCTGGATTTGGAGTCACCCTCAAAATTTAAGTGGAAAACCACACTACAGGCTGATCCAAATTTGATGTAATGTCCTTAAAACAAGTCAAAATGATGCTCAGTAGTGTGTGTGGCCTTCACGTGCCTGTATGACCTCCCTACAACGCCTGGGCATGCTCCTGATGAGGTGGCGGATGGTCTCCTTAGGGATCTCCTCCCAGACCTGGACTAAAGCATCCGCCAACTCCTGGACAGTCTGTTGTGCAACGTGGCGTTGTTGGATGGAGCGAGACATGATGTCCCAGATGTGCTCAATTGGATTCAGGTCTGGGGAATGGGCGAGCCAGTCCATAGCATCAATGCCTTCCTCTTGCAGGAACTGCTGACACACTCCAGCCACATGAGGTCTAGAATTCTCTTGCATTAGGAGGAACCCAGGGCCAACCGCACCAGCATATGGTCTCACAAGGGGTCTAAGGATCTCATCTCGGTAGCTAATGGCAAGGATTAAATGTCAGGAATTGTGAAAAACTGAGTTTAAATGTATTTGGCTAAGCTGTATGTAAACGTCCGACTTCAACTGTACTTACACTGACGTCCCAACACACACACACACACACACACACACACACACACACACACACACATTGCACATAACAGACTTGAAGGCTTGTTACATTGTACAAGACCCCCTTGGCTAGATAGACTACCTCCAATAGAGTACCTCCAATACAGTACCTCCAGTAGAATACTTCCAATACAGTACGTCCAATACAGTACCTCCAATAGAGTACCTCCAGTAGAGTACCTCCAGTAGAGTACCTCCAGTAGACTACCTCCAATAGAATACCTCCAGTAGACTACCTCCAATAGAGTACCTCCAATACAGTACCTCCAGTGGAATACTTCCAATACAGTACGTCCAATACAGTACCTCCAATACAGTACATCCAAAAGAATACCTCCAATAGAGTACCTCCAATAGAATACCTCCAATACAGTACCTCCAGTAGAGTACCTCCAGTAGACTACCTCCAATAAAATACCTCCAGTAGACTACCTCCAATAGAATACTTCCAATACAGTACCTCCAATAGAGTACCTCCAAAAGAGTACCTCCAATAGAGTACCTCCAATAGAGTACCTCCAATAGAGTACATCCAATAGAATACCTCCAATAGAGTACATCCAATAGAATACCTCCAATAGAGTACATCCAATAGAATACCTCCAATAGAGAACCTCCAATAGAGTACTTTTTTTTTTTTTTTTTTTCACCTTTATTTAACCAGGTAAGCCAGTTGAGAACAAGTTCTCATTTACAACTGCGACCTGGCCAAGATAAAGCAAAGCAGTGCGATAAAAACAACAACACAGAGTTACATATGGGGTAAAAAAAAACATAAAGTCAAAAATACAACAGAAAATATATATACAGTGTGTGCAAATGTAGCAAGCTTTGGAGGTAAGGCAATAAATAGGCTATAGTGCAAATTAATTACAATTAGTATTAACACTGGAATGCTAGATGTGCAAGAGATTATGTG